GCCGAGATCGCGCCATTGCACTCCAGCCTGGGTAAAATAAGTGAAAAACCCCGTCAAAAAAAAAAAAAAAAAAAATTAAGTAAAGAACAACTTCGTTGTAATGTGATATATAACATGATGTAAATAAAAAGAAAAAATCTAGATTAATGTGTAGTCAATAAGTATAGCCATGATACATTAGGAAACTGATATTTGAAATTTATTATTTTAAAGCCCCTTATAACTAATATTCTATTTGTCCATCTAATCCTATGAATGTATAAATACAATCTTCTATTTACCAATTGGATATTAAATCAAAATAATGTAAATTAACATCCTCAAATCATAGCTTTTTAAAAATTTTAGTTTTTAAGTATACATAATAGTTGCACATATTTCAGGTATATATGTGATATATTGATAATGTTGAGTGACCAAATCAGAGTAATTGGGATATCCATTACCTGAAACATTTATCATAGCTTTAAAGTGCCAAAGCCAGGATTTAACTCTCTTTGATTCCAAATTTCGTGTTCTTAGAAACATGTTATTACCATTTATGGATGGCCACCAGAAACACTAGAGTACATTACCACAACCTTTGTAACCAATGACCATAGCCAAAATACAGGAAGATTGTCTTTATCTAATTTCTTTCTAAATCTCAAAAGAGTTGATACATGTAAAAAAAAAAAAGCATCTAGAATATTAGTCTCAAGGAAATATGGGAAATTTAGTTTCTGATTTTCTGAATTCCCAACTAGATTCTATACTAAACTTTGAGACAATAGAAATATTAATTTTATCTATTAAAAGTATGTTAAATCTTTAAAATTAAAAGGTTAAAATAGTTCTTCAGCTAGGAAAACTTCCCATCATGATATAATAACTATAGTTGAAATGCATGTTTTTATGAAGTCATGCTTGATAAGACAAGATGAAAAGTAGAACCTAATACAAATTAGCAATTTTTGGAAAATTCTTCTTCCCAATTGATTCTAAAATTTCAAATGTGAAAGTTCTTTGAAAGTTCCAGTCACCTTATTCTGTAAATACGTAATACTGTAATTTTTATTAAGATTATTATAAAAGCCTCCAGATTTAACTACTTTCTTCCATTTTGTCTCTGCAATCATTCCTACAGATTTAATCATTTCCCTCAACTCTCCAGAAATACACAATGGAAAAGCCCAAAGTATTATTATACACAGCACAAATTTTGCCTTCCTTGATGTAAACCTAATTCTAGTGCATCAAATCCTATTGGCTCTTCTTTATTTCTCTGTGAAACTTTAGTAAACAGTGTCTGGAATTCTTCCCTAACCACAGGATGAATTTTCCCACTTCTGAAAATTTCTTCTGCCTGAAACTCATGCCTTCACTTTAGAAATGTTAATCTACTCATTGTTTCTGATCAACATAAATATATGCTTAATTATAAATCTTTCTCTAAGGCTTTTGGAGAGTAGGCACACTCATTTTCTAATTATATGGGACTATTTTAATAGGAAATTTCTAGAAAGAATTCAAAGCAATGAAAATCTTATATTTTTATTTCCAGCTACCAATATTTTACCTGATACACAAGAGAAAATCAATAAATTGTTTTAATATGTGTATAAACATAAGAATAAATAGATGGAATTAGTTGTTATTTCATGAGTCTGAAAATCTATTTCTTGACATTAGAATATAACTCAGTGTTATGTTTTCCATTTTGTAACTTTAGGTTAAGTTTTAATGTTTCTTATTTACATTAAGAGCACAGATTATCAGCACCGCTTTATTTGAATTTGATTCCAACCAAATAACAAAATAACAATACTACAATTAGGGAGTTTCGATTGGAGCTAGGCATGTTGGTAGATGTGTTAATAAAATAAATTTAAATTATTGTGAAGGGAAATTAGATTTAAAATTATATTATTGAAATCAATATGTAATGACTGTGAAATGGTAAGATATTAGTTG